TTACCTACCCGGCGGCTAGGGGAGCCTGAGTGGCTTTATTATATAACCATGTTTGGATTGAAGTTATGTGTGTATAGCTGAGACCTTCTTCCAATTTTTAAGTTAAATTTGCAGTCATATGATTTGGAGAGAGAATGCAAAGAACGACAATCAAACACATAGCAGGCAACTTTTTCAATAGATAAGGCGATTGGTGTTGTGTCGACAAAGTCCAGATTGAAGTAAGAAATAAAGCAACGGGCACACGAAATTAAAATTTTGTACTGCATCATATGCGAGACCTTCTAGGATCTGACTGCTGCTGCACTATATGAACATGATCAACTAGAAAGAGGAGGTTAGGGATGACCTTATAAGTGGGGTGGCTTCATCTTGCACATGAGAGGCATCTCACGAACGGAGGATAACACAGCGGGACCGGGGACCTGGAGGAAGACCAGCCGGCCGCATGACGGAGAGCGATCTACATTGGCGTCGAGACTCGCGATTGGAGCCCACCCGGGAATAAGATCGTCACGAAGCGGCGAACTCGCCGATGGGAAGAAGGAAAACAGGAATTTCTCCGTGCGTATGCGTCTAGATCGATGCCTCCTTATGGTCTGGGCCATGGGCTCCTTGCGAACCCTGGAGGGGGCCCCTAGATTTCGGGGGCCCTGGGCGGCCGCCCCCCTGCCACCCCCTCAGGGCCGGCCCTGCATGCACGAACATAATTTTGTGTGGGAAAAAGAACTTGCTGGGAAACTCGAAATAAAGCTGCATTTTATACTCGTGTATCATCTGCCATGGAGTAAAGCAAGATGATCAATTTTTTTTGAGTATCAGTACAGACACAAGCGCTCATATACACGCGCATACACTCACCCTATGAAGGCACACACGCACACCCTAACGTCTCCTCCCACTGAAAGCGCATCGCCGGAAATCCTGAAATAAATTTAGGAATAATGCGAGCACCAGGATTTGAACCCTGATGGGTTGGGGATACCACTGTCCACCTAACCAACTCAACCATAGGTTGATTCGCAAGATGACCAATTTTCGTATGTAAATTATGAGGGTTTCTCCCCGCAAAAAAAAAGTTATGAGGCTTTCTACTAAAGATATAGATATGCGTGGCTGACAGAATATTTTCCTGGTAACAAAATCTCAACCTGCCATCAGTACCCGATCGACCTCCTGTGTTTTCACAATGCAAAAGGAAAAATCTTAATTACCCCTAAAAAAAGGAAAAAATCTTAATACATGTACGTCACCAACCCAGGCTTCCCGCAAAAAAAAAACCCCAGGCTATGTGTCCCGTCAAAAAAGAAAACCCTGGCTATGTGCTGCGCGCGTGCGCCGCCGTGTGGCGCGATGGATCTGCTCCCCGAGGACTTGATCGGAGAGGTGGTGCGCCGCCTCCCCGGGCGGAGCCTCGCGATGTCCCGCCGCGTGTGCAGGCCGTGGCGCGCCGTCGTGGACCGTCTCAGGCCGCTCCGGCCGCACATGCTGCCGCACTCCGTCGCCGGCATCATCAGCATTCAGCAACTACTTTGACTTCCCGCGCTTCTTCGTCCGTCCCTCCTGCACGAGGATCGCCGCCGCGTTCGACTCCGTCCAGCGCCGCAAAGACGGCCTGACCACCACGAGTCCACGATCGTCGACCACTGCAACGGCCTCCTCCTCTACGACGACGGCTGGGACTGGACGCAGCTCTACGTCTGCAACCCCGCCACCCGGCGCTGGGCGCTCCTCCCGTCGGTTCCGGGCCTCGATCTCTTCCCAGGTCTGTGCTTCGCCGGCGCCTACCTCGCCTTCGACCCGGCCGTGTCGCTGCACTACGAGGTGTTGTTGATCCCAGACGTGCCCGAGAAAACCACCGACTATGACGAGGAGGACCCGGAGGACTTGATGGAATGGCCACCGTCGTGCCATCAGCTGATGGTGTTCTCGTCGAGGACCGGGAGATGGGAGGAGAGGGCCTTCGTTCGCATAGGCGAGGCGGCGGGAACCGTAGTCGACGTGCGGTCAAATATGGTGGTGGATCACAACTGGAAGACGGGGTATAGCTACGCCGAGTACTGGAGAGGAGCCTTGTACGTGCATTGTCGCGCCGGCGCTTTTGTTTCCAGGTACCTAATTAACTGTTGTTGATGCAAAAAGATCATTTCATTTGAAAGAACTATATCATTTTATTCCTATGTATGTTGTCTTTTTTTCTTCTTTCTTTGCGATTGATCCCTACATATATATATGTTGTCCACTAAAGCTATAGTGGGATGCGCTAGCTCAAGCTGATTAATCCAAGCTCGATATATTGTGTGATGGTTACAGGTTTTGCACTTCCGAATGTAGCTACCAAGTAATCAAAGCGCCAACAAACATGGATGAAAATGAAAACATGCGATCCAACTTCAGAAGATCAGAGAAGGGGATGCATTATGCAAGTTTTCGTGGCCATAGACTTCGAGTGTGGATACTCCTCGAAGAATCACATGGCCTACCAGAGTGGGTGCTAAAGTATGATGTCAGCCTCAACCTTCTTTCCTATCGAATGAACACTTTATATTCTGAGGAGATCAACAGGCCATGGACCGTAGATGATGACGACAGGGAGAAGCAGGAGAATAATCGACAGAGCGCTGAATGGAACTCTGATAATGATGATGTCCTAGAGTATGGTGAATGTAGCCACGAGCAGCAGAGTCGTGGGGGTTTCCGCTTCCTAGGCTTCCATCCATACAAAGAGGTTGTCTTCTTGAGTCACTCTAATAATGATGTGCTAGTGCCATGCATTCGTAATGCAGTGGCCTGCCATTTGGCAAGCTTGAAGGTTCAACATTTAGGTAGAAACAATCCAAAGGATTTTGCTCATTGGCAAAGCGAAGAAGGATCGTTTATCTACACTCCTTGCTTGCTTGATTTGCTTCCTCAAAGATTTTGATATTGGGTTCAGGTCGATCTCCTTGTTGAAGACGCTTTAATTTTTGCAATCCAAAGATATGGAGCTCTCTATGCCTCAGAAATGATTTCTATAGAATGACGTGCCATTTCTACTAAAATCAAAGACAATGGAACACAAGGGTGAAAATAGTTCCTGATTTGGACGCTCGCTTCAGGATATATTTCGATTTGAAATTTAGAACTCACTGATGGTGACAAGTGATGCACCTCGTGTGCGCCACTTGTTGCCAGCGGTGGCAATTGAAAGTAACATTTGCAAGTGGTACCCTCTAATTGATGATTATGTACTATCTATTTATCGACAAAAGCGAAGTGTTTAATATCAATCTTAAACAATGAGCCCAATGTAGAGTGAAATCGACGAGCGACATCAATGTGCCTATTTTCCGCTTATCTTATGGTTTAATAATAGATGCTTTTGTAGTATTCCCATTTCCCAATATAGGGTTATTCTTGTGACACGAACCTTAACATTATAGCAGGAGATAAAGATGGAAGCGTTTTTCTTCTTCTATTTCTTGTTTGATGATTATAGCCGGACTTGATTAATCCTGCACTGATCACAATCCCGGTAAGAATGTTAGGTCCATGCATGTCCCCCTCCTCCATCGTGCATATGCTTGTGTTGTTCTTTAAGGCACGTCCGTATAGTGGGACACTATTTCCTACTATTTGGTTCAGCAGCAATCTAATTTCCTCCCCCCTTTTCCTTTCCGAAAACCTTGCAGAAAGAACAGACGCTAGCAAATTCCATGATAATTTATCATTGATTGCAATTTTTCTGTTGGTAGCAAATTCCCTGATAATTTGAAAAGGAAACTACTATGAAGTATCTTTGGTCTTGCTGAGATGACAATTGAACCGACCTTGGAGGTGGCGTACGTATGTATGGTAGGACACTGTAACATCTCCCTATGAACTATATGATGGAGCCGCAACCTTGGAGTACCTGATGAAGCATGAAGAGCAGGAGGAGAACATCAGGATCAGAGTGGTGTATCCGATGTTATGTGGAGCTGATGTTTGATTATGCCTGGGATGTTATAACGTTGCTATCATGCTGTATCCCTTGTTTTGTAGCAAGACAACTTTGGACCTTAGTTGAGAGGGTGAGATGAGTGCTTATTACTCCCTCCGTTCCGAATTACTTGTCGCAGAAGTTGATGTATCTAAGACTAAAAAATGTCTAGATACATCCATTTCTACGACAAGTAATTCCGAACGGAGGGAGTAGTTTTTAGTGGTTGGACCTGGTCTGGTAGAATATTGTAACTGGTTTCGTTTCAATGAAATGAAGCTAGGGGTGTGAACCCCTGATTATTGACGAAAAAAAACCACAAATGAACCGACAATATGTATCCATCCCTCTTAACACGCTCATTGTCGTGCACCTAAGCTCTAGGATTTGGGTGTGACAGCTAGGGGTGCAGAGCGGCGCCGATCCGCCCCGCTCCACATGCAAAACAGATTTACTTTACTTATAGTTGCTCCTCTCAGATTTAGTTCAATTTGAACTAATTCTCTACTTATGCGTGACTTTGCAGGATGCCCGCCTGCATCCCTGGTGACAGGGGAGAAAGATTCCCAATGTCGTAGCATTCAACAAGTTCATCTAAAATGAATTATTCAACCAGTTCCATGATAGAAACAATGATTTAACCCTAAAACCATGAATTATTCAACCCTTTTTTTTGCGGGTGATGAATTATTCAACCCTATGGATGCTGGGTACTCTTTTGTGTTCCGTTATCTCTTTTCACAGTAGAACCCGATCCATTTTGGGATTGTATGGAGAGAGAAAAATAAAGAAGCCTACTGGGATTCCATATCTAATACACATGAAAGATTATTTTCGTCATCTCTAAAAACCCACGAACGCACTTCTTACATACAATCAATCTGTCAACCGTAAGCCGCTTGCATATATAAATCAATCCATCAATCATAAGTCGCTAACGGCTAACTACAATCAGTCAACCATAAGCCCGCTTGCAGATACCAGCGGTCTCACAAAACTGAACATCTGACTTGCACCTCGACTTCGCCCTTGCTCCAAGTCAGCGCGTCTTGTGTGGGCCAAGCCTCGTGAAGAACTTCAGGATGTTATCCCCAGGCATGATCACAGGCAAGCCGCACTCTTTTCCCGCTTCCACGCTCTGCAAACAGCAAGGCACGGTACCATTGGTCAGCAGCTGAAGTTTACAAGAGATGACCTTCCAGAATGGTGTCAAAATTCAGAATAAGTTTGGTGTCAAAATTCAGAATAAGTTTGGTGTCAAAATTCAGAATAAGTTGTACAGAGCAGGAGCACAACTTCATACATGAGGAATGCGCCAGCGCCATGATACTACCTTGTGCTCAGAAGCTGCCTGCTCGGCACCATTCCGATGGAGATGATGGTGTGCAGGCTGTCTTGCAGCATGGCAGGATGCCAAGACCAGAGGAGAGAGCGGAGCCTGTCCTAGTGGGAGCAGCACAAGAAGATGCCCGCTGAGGGAGAGGATGACGAGGAGCAGGAGCACAGCTTCATACATGAGGAATGCGCCAGCGCCATCAGGCTCATCATCGATGCAAATGCGCCATCGGGGTCGTTATGGATGCAGGAGCAGGCGTAATTTGGGCAACATTTGGCGGATGAACCAAGGTACTAAAATCTGGAGCAAAAATTTACCAAAGCCCAGTAAATATATTAATCTCAAAGTTAAGCGGACTACATGATTCAAGGAGTTCATCCACTTCATACTTAAACGAATCCAAGAACAATCCAAGCGTGAGCCCGGCTTTCCAGTAATTGAATATGGAAATCATATTCTTCATCCTGCCAAGAAGCGCAAAGGAAGCCCTGTACATGAGAGCGCCTATAACCTCGACGATGGCAACAGCCAATCCGGCAGAAAGTATGTCCCAGTCGCCTGTTTGCCCGATGACGGTAGCAAATGCCGTGGCACAGTAAAATCCTATCAGAAAGAATAGGATCTTTACTGGAAACCCTCTACTCACTTTCTTCAGCTTGCCAGACAACTTCTTTAAGAAAGATTGAATTGCATTAAACAGCCGAGTGCTATTGCCTGAATTGTCGGGATTGTCGTCTGCCATAGTCTTAATGGCCCATTGCACCACCCTACAGAAAGAACAAAATATTTCCGATAATATGTTATTGAACATTGTCAGAAGAAAGCATGCTGTCTTTCAAGACACAGAACAATAACTCAGGAAAGGAAGGCAGAGGAACACGCAGAGCAGATTATTAGATAAAATACAACTGATAGTGACCTGTTGCAACAAAGACCATCTGATGGCATGAAAAAACACGAGCCCTTAATTAAGACTGAGTTCTTAACCATCTAAAAAAAACTGAATTCTTAACCCATACCACTCACAATGCACTAACCGAGCTAGCACAAATTTGGCTTCATTACCTACAGAAATTTTGAAGTATGCAGCTTCTCTGAAGCTGGAACCGTGCAAGGACCCAGTACTGAATAAACCGAAATCCCACATTCTCTCCCTAGTTGATATTTGATGCATAAGGACATCAACCTTCAGTGAACAGGTTAAATCTAGGATACTTAGGTTAGGCATAACTAATCGCATTATTTAGTAAATTAGCTACCACATCCAAATAGAAGGGTCTGAAATTGTAAGCTCGCTGAACTGAGAGCCTAATGGTAAAAGGGGAGGGTGTATATTGCGTGTGATATATGCATGAAATCGAATTGCTCTCTTCAATGCAATACTTGGCACATTGCCTGCTGGCCATTCAATACACTTGCCTTGCCATTGCAAGTTTGCATCTGAATTCAGTGGTACAATGCATCTAAATTAAACAACCTTTACATCGGAACTGAGCATGAGAAAGACTACCAGTCACTAGGATTTCTAATGAAACCATATAGCATTCGGTTCGAACAAACAAAGTGCTTTAACAATCTCCAGCCATCCTTGTTCTTAGAAAACACAACACCTAATAATTTCCCGGATTTTGCATAAAATTGACTGAATACTAACTACATCAAGTGCAAGATAGACAGTGTCCTGTTCCAACAAAGATATCTATTTTGACCATCTGATGGCACCCCAAAAAATGATCCACTTAAATGAGTTCTGAACCCATACCACTTACAGTGTACTGAATGTGCTAGCACATACTCCCTCTGTAAACTAATATAAGAGTGTTTAGATTACTAACATAGTTATCTAAACGCTCTTATATTAGTTTACGGAGGGAGTATTTAGGATTCGCTACCTACAGAATTCGGGAATTGTGCATCTTCTGTGATGTGGGAACCGTGCAAGTACCGACTAATGAGTAAATCATGCATTCTCTTCCAAGTTGACATTTCAAGCATAAATACATCAACCTTGAGTGAACATGTCAACACTGGAATGCCTAGATTAGGGATAACTAGTTTCCATTATGTATGTTTTCAGTCAACATATCAGAACAGAAGGGAATGAAACTGTACACTCACTGAATTGAGAACCTCATGGTAAATGGGGGAGGGCGTATACTATGTGAGATATGCATGAAATAAAAAATTTCTCTACGGTGTAATACTTGGCACACTGCCTACTAGTGAGTCAATTCACTTGCATTGCCTTGCCATTGCAACGGTGTTCTAAACTTAAGTACTAGTATTTACAGTGAAACCTTGTACTAGTATTTACACTGAAATGACCATCGAACAATCTTCATTGGCGACTAAATAGTCAGTAGTATTTACACTGAAAGCTTGTAGCATACGATTGAAACAAACAAAGATTAACAATCTCCAGCCACCCTACACTGAAGAATTCCTCATTTTTTTACATAAAACTGACTGAATACTGTAATGATAATCGAACAATCTTCATTGGAGAAATCGACACACATCGCACAACTTGCAGGTTTTGTAGCTACTTATTTCTGTATTATTTGGAACGGATATTCTTGGTGTGGTAACACACTAACAGTAAACGCTACCTGGTGCTTCTGCCGAAGGAAGGAGACGCGCGCACCAAGCGGAAGCTCCCCTGATGCTTGTTCCGGCAGCACGCGGCGGCGGCGGCCCCTCTTGGAGCGCAGGAGGACGCGGCAGCAGCGGCGGCGACAAGGTTCCTCGACCTCGAGCACCCCGACCAGCACCGGTGCCCCGGCGGCGACTGGACGGCTCCCTTGCACAGACGGAGAGCGGACATGTGCCCTGCCCAATTCGACCAAAAAATTCTCAGACATCGGAACCAAATCGGACCTGACCAACCGAGCTCATATGTCGGCAGTCTCGATCGGCGGCCACTCACCGAGCTCGCGCCCGAGCGTAAAGAGGGGGAGGGGGGAGGTGCAGGTGGATTACCTCGGAGGAGGCAAGCTCGTCAGGCGGCGGCGGTGTCACCGGCGGCTGTCATCGGCGGGGAGAGATATGGGATGGTTGGTCGGGCTGCGGTGGCCGACGAGGCAGTGAAGGGGAACAGAACTGGGCCAAGCCCACATAGCATCCCATGGGCCAGAGTCTAGCTATATTATTATTAGGCTTCCCGTCGTGGGCCACTCACTGGGCTTCTCCTCTGCTTCTCTCGGCCGAAACCCCAGCTCAGCGAGCAGAGACCCGGCGGCGGCGGCGATATGCAGTTCCTCCGGGGCGTCGGCGGCGGGGGAGGAGGGGCGGGGTCGACGGCGTGGGAGGCGTTCAGGAGGCATTTCTCGCGGAAGCGGGCGGTGGACATCCGGCGGATCAACCCCAAGGTGCCCAAGGAGGAGGCCGTGGCCATCTCCGGCCGCCTCCTCCAGATCCTCGCCGACCACGGGCCCCTCACCGTCGGCAACACCTGGAACCACGCCAAGGTACGCGCGCGTCAACTCACTCGGCTGCCCGTGCGTGTGTCAACGACCTCTAGCTGTTGAGCTCGATGTATTGCTGCGACTTTGTTCGTCCGTGGCCGGCAAATAAATTTGATGCAGTAGTAGTAAGAGCTGATGGAACTGATGCCCCGAAGCAAGTAGTACAGCTTGGCCTCTGCCTGTACTTCCTTCATTGGTCAGATAGATGATGTTTAGACCAGGAAGATTGTAGCTTCTGCCCTCTTTTTAGTGCCTTGGCTTCTTGCATTTGGGCAGCAAATAAAGTAGATAGCTTTACTCTTCTTCGCGCTTAGCCGTGCTCTTGTATATCAACTTTGTCTTGTGATTACAGAGTAGTTTTACCCTTCTTCGCGTTTAGCCATACTCTTGTATTACAGATGTAATATGGTGTATGTTCAACTCAGTGATCTTGCCATGACTATTTGGGTGCTAGTAGGAAATTTCTGCAATTAGGTTTGTAATCAGGCATCTTTTAGTCTGTTGGCACCGAATAAGCTGCTGAATGTGTATGCTATGATAGCCACCTGGTGGTGAGGTAAACAATTGATTCTTGTTCATGCCACTTCTGTTTTAGATGCTCAATGTGTTAGAATAAATCCGAGGCCACCATCGATCATCCGAGGACCAAAGCAATCACACAAGCATAACACCGAGATTTGTTAACGAGGTTCATCGATATGGCTACATCCCCGGGGCCTGACTACGGGCGCTCCTCCCCGTGACACCGTCACAATACCGCACCCCGGCCGCCCGGGCGCCGGCACACGCCACCGGCTCCCCCGCGTGCCCGTGCTATTATGTTGGCATAGGTTACATCGTGTGTCTACCCCCGATATATATGAGAGGCCTAGGATACAAGTGTCCTATTAGGACACAACTCCTACCCTGTATACACACAGTCCAAAACCAAGTCCAATTGTAACCTACCTTGTACAATAATATTCGACATAATTCTAACAAACTCCACCTTGGCGAATATTCTCCACCACCTTGAATTCATCCGTGCGTCGAACCTTCATGTACATGGACTTGAGATACACCATGAGCACCGCTGCTACTCCCAGACTCCATGTGACTCCACCTGCAACTGTAGTCCCTTCTCGTCTTCTTCACAGTCAACACTCGAGCAAAAATTAAGTTCCTCATTACTTTACTTTGTGCTCCCAATTTCCGGAGAATCCGTTCAACGTCATCACACACCGAATACTGTCTGCGTGAAAATGAACAACTCACATATTAGACGCCACATATAAGAGTTATCTGAACTCAACATCACCGCTCTTTCTTGACTGCTTGTCTGAAACTTGAAGGAATTTCACCGTCACCTTGTGTCACCCTCAGTCAAATTCACAGTTGTCTCATCCTTTTTTCGGATAGTCTCTGACTTGTCCCATCGCTATAGCACTCCGCCTCCTTCTGCCTTGTCATCCGCACTTTGCCATGTGCACTGAACACCACAGAATATACGGCCATGTACTCTCTCAGCTTTTGACAATTTTAGACTTTCCGCCACTTTCTCAGATTCTCCATGGTCAACTCCTATCCATCAACTAGCACCGATAGACCCAGTCACCAACTTGAATCCAGTACTCGTCAACACTGCTTCAGCACCCTTGCACACTTTGTCTGATCACACGTATGACCACCAGTGCCTTGGTCTGTCGCTGTGTCCCGTGCTTACCGCACGCCTCGCCGCTATCACCGCGTCGAGCCTTTGCTGTCCTGGTCGAGTCTCCCGGGTAGCTAGCCCACACTGCCTCAACTCCCCACTGCAGAGAACCATCGATCATCACCGACCGATGCCGAGTATCACGCCTCCATCAGACCACTGGTACCCAATCCGATCCACGTGTCTCTCGCTATCCCGCTGAAATAGGCTTCGACTCTCCATGCATTTACGTCGTAGCCCCTCCATCAGCACAGAGTGAAGTCGTCCATCAGACTCCAGCTCCACCTTCAACATGACTCTATGTAGCTGGCCACGCTACCCTGCACCCTGTCGACTTCAAGCTCTCTCATGTGTACACCGCCTTGAATCAATCCTGCGCCATAGTCTTGTCGAAGCCGCACAAGCCCTTAGACCTGCACCACGTGTTTCCACGCCCCAGAAGTCGGTCACCATCAGCATCACACTCCTATGTCGTTGTCGCTGAAATCACCACCATCTTCTGCTTTGACCGACATCCTCGTCGATCCGTCAGACAGTCCAGTCCGACCCAGCCGAAATTATCCGACTGCACCATGCTCCACCCTGCGTCGTGTCCGCCTCGCACATCCGTGCATTGCCTTGACGCCCTGTGTATGCATGATCCTTCCACGACATGCTCCAGACTCCTCCGAGCCTTATGCACACGTCGCCATCCTCGGTTCCCGTCTGACTGCTAGTTGAACCACACCACTGCTGCCATGCCAATCTCCTTAGCGTACGAAGCAAAGAACCCAAAACTAGTCCCTGTAGTCCCTTGTGTACGTGTGCAACCAACTCAAATAATTCCTGTAGTACTTGTGCAATCTCCCAATAACAGTTTAGGACATGCTTATCGCTGCCAGATTTTGAGCTCTTGCAATACTACTGTTTATGTCTATGATGGGATACTACTGTTCATATGTAATCAAGAGCTTGTGATTTGGAGATCATGTAATACCACTGCTTATATCTAAT